TCTGAATATAATTACATTTTTCATGACAACTTAAATTTAACCAAAGGTCATCATGATTATCAATGCTAGTTCTTAGATATAATATAAAAACGAACCTATACACTTTGTGGATGGGCCATAAGGAAATTGCACTTATAGTAATGGCATTAATTATCATGCATTTTGCATTCTTAGGTCTACTTGTGGTAGATTTTTGAGTCTTTTTTCTGCTTATTATAACCTCCCATCTCTTTTTAATTTACTGCTTTGAATTTTCCATTACCATTGAAGAGAGATTTTTGTTAGCGATTACTTCTTTACTGATACTGTTAGGAAAATCCATGTGAGAAACTTTGTGCTATTTATTTTTGACTGTTCAGATATCATTTGGTCTCAGGTTCTAGTTTTAACTATGTTCTTTTTCTTTTTTAAAATTTTTTTGATGTTTATTTATTTTTGAGAGAGAGAGAGAGAGAGCATAAGAGGGGATAGGGAAAAGAGAGAAGGGGACCCAGAATCCAAAGCAGGATCCAGGCTCTGAGCTGTCAGCACAGAGCCCAACTCAGGGCTTGAATCCACAAACCATGAGATCATGACCCAAGATGAAGTCAGACGCTTAACCAACTAGGCCACCCAGGCGCCACTTAACTATGCTCTTTTTTAATGAGATACTACATAGCCCATTCAAATGGGGCAAAGAAGGCTGAATGGGTATAAAATGTGCAGAAAGCCCTGAAATTGGCACTAAAATATGAACACAGCACTAAAATCAATAATTTAGCATGGGAAATAATTAAATAATTATTTAAAGCAATAATTAAAGCATGGGGAAAAGGGTTTTCTATAAGATTTAAAAAGAATTAGGAATTTATAGGGGGCACCTGGGTGGCTTAGTCGGTTGAGTGTCCAACTCTTGATTTCAGCTCAGGTCATGATCCCAGGGTCATGGGATCGAGCCCACCATCATGCTCAGTGTGGAGCCTGCTTGGGATTCTCTCTCTCTTTCCCTCTGCCCCTCACCCGCTCATGTGCTTTCTCTCTCTCTTAAAAAAAAAAGAAAAGAAAGAAAAAAAGAATCAGGAATTTCTATCCTTAATATTTGTTGCAAAGCCAAGCAAGAAAGAATTCTCTTCTGAATTGATAAGTTACTTCTTTACAGACACTTGTGTCTTAGTAAGAGAAGTGACATTAGCCATAATCATCCAGCTAATAGATTGATGGGAGATATGTACATATGCTACTCAATGTGCATATTCCAATCTCATGATCTGAGGAGATTTTACAGGAAAGAGGAGCTGATTACCTTCTGTTTCAAGAAACACATGTAACAAAAATATTTACCTTTACGCTTCCTAAGACCCCATTAAAATTATAGTAACAAAAATAAACTGATTCAATGAAAAACAACAAAGGGACAAAAGAGTGATCTTCCTTGGCAAGAAATTTAAACAAATTTACAACAGATGTGAAGTGGATAGAGGAATGGCCTCTGAAGGTGCAGAGCAAGAGAAGCTGCAGGCTCATGTACACAAACAGTCTACACCTGCAGAGAGAGCCCCACAGAAGCTGGAGAGCATTAGAACTTAGGTGACAAAAGAAGGAGGGGTGAATTACAGAATGAAACTTACAGTCAAAAGCGCCCATTTCCATATCTGAAAGCATAGTTCTTGACAGCCAGGTGTGTTTATCCCTCAGCCAAAAAAAAAAAAAAAAAAAGAAAAAGAAAAAAGAAAAGAAAAAAGGGGTGGGGAATGCAGTTAAGTAGGGTAGGGGGTCAGACACCTTGAGTACAGGCCCCTTCATTCTGACTTTTAGAGTCTCCTGGCTAACTGCTGCCTGTTTGCTACAAACAAAAGTTTGTCTCTTTACAAGATACAAAAAGAATCTGTAAAGCTCCAGTCAGGGCTCATTAGAGTTTGAATAAAACCTATAATCAAAGTGAGAAAGATTGAGTGAAAGAAACATAAAATTTAAATGATGGTAGTAGCCCAAGGATGGGCAGTGGAGGAGATAACTAAAGAAACAGAAGATAATTACAACACTTCTAAATTATTATTCTTGGAAAGATTTAACAAGGTATTACTTTCTTAGAGCAGAAAGAGAAGGGTATGAAAAAATCAAACCAACTTTAATTTATAAAATTAATCTGAAATCGTAAAAGCAATTCAAAATTATAAGCCTGATTGTCAGAAGAAGGAAAACTTGAATGAAAAAATTTAAAGATTTTTTTAAAAAAAATCTCCCTGACATTATGAAGGAAAGAAAAAGACACATATATTTTTAAAAGATGAAAATAAGATTCAGTGTAAATGTTGTCATGCCCACTTACTTGATGTTTATAAAAAGGGAATAAATTAAGTGAACATGTGGAAAATTTTCAAAGAAAGGAGAGAATATTCAGAGTTTAAAGATTTGAGTCTCCAAATTCAGTGAACTCTCCAAATGCCAATTACATTAAATTATTAGAAATAAAATACTCTAAAAATAGCAGTAGGAAGTTTCAGAGCTCTAAGGATAATGAGAAGATTACTATTACCAAAGAGAAGATACGATAATATTTATTGTTACAATTATCTGATTCACATTTGACTCCTCGGCAATGACAATAGATGAGCAAAGACAATGGCAGAATACTCTGCAAATTCTGAGGGCAGAAGGGTTGTTAAACCGAAGTTGTGTAACAAGCAAACTATCTATCAATCAGGTGAAACAGCATTGTAAGTCCAGAGGAGAGATCCTGTGGCCTGTTAGCGTGACTATCAGAGTCACTAGGGAAATTTCCCACTGCTCTAATTCCACAGTACTGAGGGGACTCTGCTTTAACCAGGTTGTGCTAACCTGGGCAGTAGGGGTGAGGGGGAGAGATGAAAATGATGGAAGGGTAATTTATGTTGGCCTGAGTGTGTTATATCTTAGAGTAGTTTCATTTTACGCTAGTTATTACCTTGTACTTTATTTAGGTTAGTCCATAGATTGTTGAATTCAGAAATTTTTTTTTAATATTTTTATTTTATTTCTAGGATAGAGAGAGACAGCGTGAACAGGGGAGGGTCAGAGAGAGAGGGAGACACAGACTCTGAAACAGGCTCCAGGCTCTGAGCTGGCCGTCAGCACAGAGCCCGACGCGGGGCTCGAACCCACGAACCGCGAGATCATGACCTAAGCGAAAGTCGGACGCTTAACCGACTAAGCCACCCAGGCGCCCCTGTTTAATTCAGAAATTAATGAGATGTCCTAGGTTCAAATGAGGTTATGTTTAGCCCATTTGGACTATGTACTAGGCTGCTTATTCCAATAGTCCAGTAGCTGGTTACATACCCAAAATTGTTAAACTTCCAAAAGATGTGATGTGTCCTTCACTCATTCATTCAAACTTTATGAATCAATATCATTAATGGCTAGTGATGCTTTTTAGTTCTTGGACAAATGTGACAAATTCTGGAGAAATGTTATCCTCACCATTTCTTGAGTTTACATTTTTCCCAAAAGTGATGAAGGACATTAACCAAAGGCTCAAGAAGCTTAGGAAAACACAAGCAAGATAAATACAAAGAATGTGACACCAAAGCATTAAAAATAGAACTGACATAAAACAAATACAAGGACAAAATCTTAAAAGCAGCCAGGATGAAAGGGAGATACATTTCAAAGGACCAGCAATAAAATTGACATATATCTTTTCAACTAAAGTCATGAAAGTCAGAAGCCAATAAAATACCATTGTCGACGTGATGAAAAATGCGAAATAACTATCAAACTGAAAACAGAAATCCTGTAAAAATGTCCTTCAAAAGTTAAAACATTTTATGACCAAAAATATTAAAGGAATTGACCATCTATAAATCTTCACCAAGAAAAAAAAAACAAAAAAGAATTCTTTAGGCAGAAGGAAAATAAAAGTGTGAACACGGACAAAGAAATAAAAAACAATGGAAAGGATAAATCTAAAAGAATATTATTCTAAGTAACAGAAAGAAAAACAATAATATATTTTGGAATTTAAGCATAGATAAAGAATTAAAATCAACAAAATATGCCCCTGAAACTAATATAACATTGTTTGTCAACTACACTCAAATAAGTAAATAAATGAAATGCACAAAACAATAGCACAAAGAGTGGGCATTCATATAAGCTCATTGCATTATCTGAAAAATAGTAAAAATAATAAATCATATTAAGCTTTAATAAGTCAAGAGATGTATGTTGCAGTCTCCAAGTCAACCACTTAAAGAAGGGTGCAGAAATGGATAGTTAACAAACTAATAGAGGAGGTAAATGAAACAAAAGTAAAAAATCCAAAAGAATTCAGGGAGATAATATAAAACAGGTCAGAAAATAAAAAACAAATAATAAGGTGGTAAGTGAAAGCCTAAATATATCAGTATTTACACTTAATATATAAAGACAAAATGCTTTAGTGTTGAAAAATTACTAAGATGAAATATTAAAACAATTACTTAAATTTTATGGGCAATTATATTATATAAGTATAAAAACATAAATACATTGAAATTATTATTTAAATTTTTAAGAAAAATCATGCCTTGTTTACCTATGGCTTTGAAACAGAGGGTACGATGGACAAAGCTTGGGTGGAAGACAGGCAAGGTGAAATGGGCAGCTAAGAGAGACCGTCCATGGTGGATGAAACAAAAAATAGGCTTTGCCGTGCTGCTGACGGCTGCCGAGGTAAGCAGTGAAAAGAACTATATATTGGGAAGAAAGGAACCATATAGGGAGGAGGAAAAGTTGAAGGAGGTATGAGTGAACCTGGTCTTCACTGACTGTGGTCTAAATTCAGTGGAAAGCAGTTAAGGGAGATCAATGAACAAATTGCCCTTTAAGAACAGTTACCACTGGAGGCAGACCTGGGGTAGAGAACATTTGCACTGCCTGATTCTTTTAACCGTGCATGTGTATCACAATGACTTAACCTTTCTAAAAATAGATGAGTACACAAACACTTCTGATATGAATTCTTAAAATATTTCCCCTTGTTGATTATTATTTCTACTTACATTCTTGTTTGACTGACAGAGGAACTATCTTCTCTTCATTCTTTAAAGGATGATCCATGTGCACAATCAGGTGTTGGAGACTTAGGGACCTCACAGTCTCCAAGGAGACGTTGTATGTTTTAGTGATAGTCACCGTGCCATTTGGGTTCTGAGCAAGGTATTCTTCTGGTGGATTAATCAAGACTTTTGATGGGAAAAGAGATATCTGAGGAACAGGCTTTCCCACAGCTGAGTAAATAAATCTAAGAGAATCTTCAGAGTCAAGATTGGACTGGAGTTCAGTTTTTATTTCAGATACAGCTGAAACAAAAAGGGAGACACAAAATTAAATACAAAAATGTGTCACACCGGATTTCTAAAGTGTTACAGATGGACTTCTCCACATTTCTATATGACAATGAAATGCTGTAAACATGTCCCTCTCAGATACCTCTCCTCACATTTTGCAAAACTTCACAATTCTATCTCTTATATCCACTATCTTCCAATTTAAGAGGAACACAGTGGGTATCTCCACTTTAATTCAACCTTAAAAATACATTATATAAATCTCCAACACTTTAAATTTATAGCAAAATAACGAGGGGACACTATGTCACTATCACTACTCTTTCAACATTTAGTTAATTTGTCAGGAAATTCTTATTCTCTAAGTCTTCTTTCCTCTTTCTTTCCTCTCTTTCTCAGTGAAAATTCTGATGCCATTTACAACTTTTCCCTGCGGGATTAAAATCAATGCAGTGTAAAAAGTTAGATGAGAAGTCAGAAGACTTAAATGCTCTGCCTGGTCCGAACTGTGTGGAAATGAGAAAGCCATGTAACCATCATTGGCTTCCACTTTTTTCCTCCTGTATAACAAAAGATTTGACATGGATGACCTCTATTGTAGGCTTTCCTTCTTTAATATTCTTTCTCTGGACCCGAAACTTCAAAGATCACATCCTCATGATTTTGACTCTACATAAAACATTTGCATACCTATAATGTTAAGGCAGATTTGTCCACTACGGCTGCCATGCGGAAACACATTAAATAGACATTTGTAGCAGGCTTCATCTTCAAATGTTACTTCACGGATAGTTATGAATGAGGAGCTGGGTTCGATGACCTCACAGTGCAGCCGATCTCTGTATGGTGGAAGAATCCTTTCTCCATACGTACTGCTATATGTGCCAATATTTTGTGGTGAAGAACCCAGTATCTTCTGCCATGTAATTTGCACAACATCTGCTGGAGTTGTTAAGTTGCAAAAAATCGTCACGTTTTCTCCAAATACAGCTGTTTCATTATTCTTGCATATTATTCTATGTGAAGAGTCTGAAAACAAAACCCAGTATGAATTAAGAGCAATGTTCTTTCATACTACTTTGGACTTATCCCTGTCATAGCACTCACTTATCTCTCGGTTTTATAATTATCTTTTTATTTGTGTCTTTCCCCACTAGAAAATGGGCTTTCCTATCTTCTTCACCATTGAAAAGTAGTTTCTAAGTGTATTTCTGGCGTATACTACCTAACCAATAAATATTTACTGAGCACAAAAATTGAAACATAAATTAACCAACACAAGAATGGTAATTTTGATGAATCTCTGGAGGTTGAGTGTGAACTAGCTTGAGGGTAACAAACTCCCCTGGGCTCCGGTCTTAGGGAGGACCTAAAATTCCAGTTTCCACCAGCATGAACCTAGCCAAGTTCTCATAGTGAAAAGCCAAGAAAATTCACCTCATATCTTTGGCAAAGGAAGAGGAAAGTAATCATGTTGAAATAAGTCCAGTGCATTTCTCATAAAAAGACCTAGTCTCCAGGGAAAAGACTTTACCAGAACTTATCTCACATAGGTGGAAGGACAGTGATCCAGATCTGGTTCCCCTTAGCTTTCCTGTCTTATGTAAGGTGGGGAAGGAAGCGGAAAAGGTACAAAAACTTGTAAAGGTTACATCCAAGGGTCTAAGGTCCAGCAAGAGTGAAATTTAAACATATGATTTTGAAATACTTCCCTCCTCAACTGTTCCCCACCACAGCAGTAGGTTTCCAATATAATGACAGTGGATTACAGCTGAAATGGTTGTAAGGCTCAGACAGGAGAGACAAAAACAGAAAAACTACAAGAATTTGAAACCCTTGATACCTTGACCTACAATAAATAGTAAACACAACCCAACTCCCTGTGAGAGTAACATAAAACCCAAGTTAAAGCTCCATTTGCCTTAGTTCTTATCTGATATATCATGTCTGGGTTAAAATAAGAAGAGTTATAAGGCATGGTAAAAGCCCAGAATAAAAATAATATGAAAAGACAAAGAAGCATCCAAGCCAGACTCAAAAATAGTACAGATTTTGTAATTATCAGACAGAAAACTAAAATCAACTATGATTAATATAATAAAGACTCATGGAAAAGATTGACATGTGCAAGAATATATGAATAATGTAAGCATAGACATTGAAACTCTAAAACGAATAAAGAGAAAATGCCAAAGACATTACAAGAAAATAAAACTATAGACCAATATTTCTTATAAACAGAGAGGCAAAAATCCTAAACCAACTGAATGCAAACAAGTATTAAAAAAGTAAAGTCCATGGTCAAGTGAGATTTATCCCATGTATGCAAAGCTGGTTCGACACGTGAAATTCAACTAATGTAATTCATTACATCAACAGACTAAAATAGAAAAGTCACAAGATCACATGAACAGATTCAGAAAAAGCATTTGATAGAATCCATCACCAATTCATAATAAAAACTCACAGTAAACTAGGAATAGAGGGTAACTTCCTTCACCTGATAAAGAACATTTTCGAACAAAAAACAATATCTACAAAAACCCTACAGCTAGTATCACACTAAATAGTGCAAAACTCGAAGCTTTCCTGCTAAGATCAGGTACAAGGCAAAGATGCCCCCTCTCACCTATCCTTTTCAACATATACTTATAGGTCTTTCTAATGCAATAAGGTAAGAAAAAGATACAAAAGGTATGCTAGTTGGGAAGAAAGACATAAAACTGTCTTTGTTCATAGATGACATGATTATTTATGTAGAAAAGTAGAAAGAATCAACAAAAGAAACTCCTGGAACTAATAAGCAATTATAGCAAAGTTGTAGGATTACACAATAAATATACAAAAGTCAATCAATTTCCTGTGTATCAATAATATATAATTAAAACATAAATAATACCATTTACATAAGCAGTTCCCAAACCAAATATTCATGTATAAACCTAACAAAATAAGTACAAGATCTATATGAGGGAAATTATAAAACTCTGATGAACAAATCAAAGAAGAACTAAATAAAAGAAATATTCCATGTTAATGAATAGGAAGACTCAATATTGTCAAAATATCAGTTCTTCCCAACATGATCTGTGGATTAAATGCAATCCCGATTAAAATCTTAACCAGTTATTTATGGACATTGACAAACTGATTCTAAAGTTTACATAGAGAAGTGAAAGACCCAGAATAGCCAACACAATGTGGAAGGACAACAAAGTTGGAGGGCTAACATTATTCAGCTTCAAAACTTACTATAACTAGAGTAATCAACACAGTGTGGAATTGACAAATAAATAAGTAAATAGATCAATGGAACAGAATACAGAGCCCAGATATGGACTCACTCACATGAACTCAACTGATCTTTGGAAAAGGTGCAAAGAAATTCAACAGAGAAAGGATAGCCCTCTTTTAAAGTTTTATTTATTTTATTTTTATTCCTTTTTTATTAAAAAATTTTAAAGTTTATTTATTTTTGAGAAAGAGCACACGTAAATGGAGGAGAGCCAGAGAGAGAAAGGGAGATGCAGAATACAAAGCAGACTCCAGGCTCTGAGCTATCAGCACAGAGCCTGACAAGGGACTCAAACTCATGAACCGCAAGATCATGACCTGAGCAGAAGTCATTCGCCTAACAGGATGAGCCATCCAGGTGCCCCAAGGATAGTCTTTTTTGACAAATGATGCCGCTGGGACAGTAGTGTGTCTGATTCTTTTCCTAGGGCTGCCATAACAAATTACCACAAACTTCGTGGCTTGAAACAATAGAATTTATCTTTCACAGGTCTAGAGGTCAGAAGTCCTAAATTAAGGTGTTTTGATTTAGGGCTCACCCTAACTCAAAATGATTTCATCCTGAGATCCTTACCTTAATTATGTCTGCAAAGACCTTATTTCCAAATAAGATCATATTCTGAGGTTCTAGACAGACAAGAATGGGATTGGGAGCACTGTTCAACCCACTACAATGGCCATATGCTAAAAGAAATAAAGATAAACACCTCACTAACAAAAATTAACTCAATATGGATTGTAGACCTAAATGAAAAATGCAAAACCATAAAACTTAGAAGAAAACACAGGAGAAAATCTAGGTGACCTTGTGTTTGGTGATGAGTTATTAGATATAAATACCATCAGGATGATTCATGAATGAAAAAAAATTGATGTTAGACTTTATTATAATTAAAGACCTTTGCTTTGTGAAAGACAATGTGAATAAAATATAAAGACAAGCCACAGATTGTAAGAAAGTATTTGGAAAACATGTAACTGATAAAGGACTTTGTCATAGTCTGTTCAGGCTGCTATAATTAAATAATACAGACTGAGTAGTTTATAAACAACAGAAATTTGTTTCTCACAGTTCTGGAGGCTGGAAATCCAAGATCAGGGGGGCAGCATGTTTGAGTAAGGGCTCTCTTCTGGGCCATTGAATTCTTGTTGTGTCCTCACATGGTGGGAGGAACTAGGAAATTCTATGGATTTTTTATAATCTAATCCCATTTTTGAGGGCTCCACATCATGACCTACTCACTTCCCAAAGGCCTCACCTGCCTATACCATAACCTTTGAGGGTTACAATTTCAACATGTGAATTTTGAGGGGACATAAACACTCAGGCCATAGCAGACTTGTATCCAAAATATACAAAAAACAGTAAGAACACGAACAATATAATTTAAAAATGGCCAAAATGTCCAAATGGACACCTCCCCAAAAATAATATATAATTGGCAAAAAAACACATGAAAGGATGCACAAAATCTCTTGTTGTTAGGAAACTGCATATTAAAATAATAATGAGTTTCTACTACACACCTATTAGACTGGCTAAGATTTTTTAAATACACACAATACTAAATGTTGGTGAGGATGCAGAAGACCAGGAACTCTAATTCATTGTTGACTGGAGTACAAAAGGTGACAGCCACTTTGGAAGGACAATTTGGCAGTTTCTTAACAAACCTACACATATTGCTACCATGGAATCCAGCAGTTGTGTTCTTAGGTATTCACCCAACTGATTTGAAAACTTATAACCATATAAAAATCTACAGGTAAATGTTTAAGGCAGTATATTCATAATCACCAAAAACGGAAAGCACCAAGATGACTTTAATAGGTGAATGAGTAAACTGTAGTCATCTATACAACAGAATATTATCCAGCGATAAATAAATATGAGCCATTGAATCACGCCCACACATACAAACCGTGGATAAACGTAGAATGCATATGGCTAAGTGGAAGAAGCCAAAGTAAGAATCACACACTGTGTGATTCCAAGTATATGCCATTTTGGAAAAGGTAAAACTATAGAGACAGTAGGAAGATCAGTGGCTACCAAGGGCTCAGGAGTAGGGAGGAGAGTTGAATAGGTGAGACACACAGGATTTTTAGGGCAATAAAACTATTCTGTATGGTACTGTAATGGTTGGTAAGTGACCTTACACATTTGTCAAAATGTATAGAGATTGACAGCACATAAAGTGAATCTTAATGCAAACAATGTAAAAAATTATTGGGGCACCTGGGTGGCTCAGTCGGTTAAGCAATCCAACCCTTGATATTGGCTCAGGTCAAAATCTCATGGTTTGTGAGATCAAGCTCCTCATTAGGCTCATGCTGACAGGATAGTATGAAGTCTGTTTGAGATTCTCTCTTTCCCTCTCTATGCCCTTCTCTAACTTGCACGTGTGTGGACTCTCTCTCAAAATAAATAAATAAACGTTTAAGAAAAAAATTATTTAGGAGACGGAGGTTGCCAAGGAGTGCAGTCTGAAACCTGAAAATCTGACTGTATTACAAATATATCCTATGTAGACGTAAAAGTTGATAGTATATACACTTGATATGACATAATTAAAATGGCATTTGACCTCTGTGGCCTTCCTCCCCTAAACCCGTAAGGCACTCTAGTCACGAAAAAAACATCAGACAATTTCTGATAGAGGGCTATTCTACAATATACTTGACCAGTCCCTTCAAAACAGTCAAGGTCATCAAAAATAAGGAAATTCTGAGAT